TAGTCCAATGTGGTTTTGTGACAAAACATAAATAATTTTTGACTAATTATGCCTATATGTTCCCTGTTAGGTAAAATAGAGTTTTGCTTAACTCATTACACCTTCTGGAATATCTAATAGTTTTTAGAATAGCATTTTTAGAATTCTTAATATAATGAAACTGTTGTCCCAACAAAAAAAAATGTTTTTTTGAACATTTCAAATAGAAGAATTATTGATTGAGAATGCGCAGCCATTGTATTACTTTCCTGAAGGTTAAACATTTACTCTATCTCACAGGTATAGATGAAATATCTGAGGATGTGTATAAAGGAGTAGAGCACAGTGATTCAGAGGAATCCGACAAGTCTGACTCCAGCGACAGTGAATACGGCAGCGATGATGAACAGAAATCTAAGAGTGGCCAAAACGACAAAAACACAGTTGATGATAAAAATGAGAAAGAGCCACCCAAGAAAAAGTCAAAACCATCAGTGGCTACTGGTGAGGACAAAGACAGCAGCACAGAGTCTGCTGCAACAGCCAGTACAGCAACCAAAGGAGAAACCAGCCAAAAAACAAACACCTCCGAGCCTATAGCTAAAGACAAACCAGGTATGGATTCCGAGAAAGAACCTCCTGAGAAACTGAAAGCTGCTCCCGCATCCCCAGATTCCAGAGAGAAACCCAAGGGCTCTGAAAAGGCCGTGCAGCCGGCAACTGTGGATGTAGACATGGACTCGGACTCTGAGAGGGAGCTGGTCATCGACCTGGGAGAAGAGCAGGCAGGGAAGGAGAGAAAGAGGAACAGGAAAGATTCAGCCACTGTCACCGCACTCAAAGAGCCCACAGCCTCCAAACCTGAAGGTCAGATTTCCTTAATAAATCAGTGTAAGAATTAAGTCTGGGTAAAACTTCTAGCAACATCAGCCAATTGCCATTAGACCAGCAGCATCAAGTAAGTTTTACAGTGGTGGCCAAAATTATTAGAACACTTGGCATATTTAAGAGGTTTCAGTTGTTTTTGTTGAATTGGCCATTGCAGTACCCATAAAACGAACTATTGCCGGAACTACTTGCGACAGAAGGAATCTGCTGGAACATTGAAAATGATGGACAAGCCCCCTCAAAGTCTGGACCTCAACCCCATCGAGCAAATTTGGAGCGAGTTGGAAAATAAACCGGACAGATCTATTGTATATTCAAAGGAAAGCCTTTGGTTTGAGTTTCAGAAGGCATGGGATAACATTAGTGTTGAAGTTCTCAGGAAATATACTGACACTATGCCAGAGAGATGTGCTGCTGTAATTGCTGCAAAAGGTGGACATACCAAATATGAAAGTTAAAAGTGGATAAAAACAGTAAGACTCGCTTCATCGGATATTTGTTGTGCTCAGAGCAACCATTTGCATGTTATACAAACATTGAAATGAAATCATGTTTTGGAGGCAAAAAAGCTCAATATTTTCAGATCTGTCAGGTGTTCTAATAATTTTGGCCACCACTGTATGTTAACATTAAAAGTGAACCAGTTTGCAAAACAATAACAAATCACTTGATGTTTAAAGGTGCACTCAGTAATGCTATTTATAAAGTAATTAAAAATAAATCAAAGAAATATTGAAATAAATAACTAATAGATCATATAAACTGAATATATAACTTACATAAATTACATCTATAAAGCAACCCAGATCCACGTAAAATAAAACTGCTTTTATTTGATTTTTACATGGATCCGAGTTCCTTCATGCTGATCGCTACATGATCACATGACTTGCCGAATGCTACTACTACTACTAAGTAACCCCATTATTATCAGACATTTTCACTTACATTATAAATAAATGATGAGTGACTGCAAATTTATACAATGGCATGGTAAGCGAAAACGTTTTAACTTGCCTGATGTTGTCGTCAACGCTCTTGCCACACATCGGAATCGCTCTCTCGTCTCATACAAACGCAACTGCGCCATCTTGCGCCTCAGTTAATGATTGTGATGAAATTGAAAATCACCTCAGAGGAGATTTATTAATATTACCGTCATATTGTTGTAGTCTTTGTCTTGTTTCTAAGTCAGTAGTTTTGTACGTTGGAGTAGACGTTTTTTTGTAGCTAAAAACCTTTATCTTAAATCAGTATTTCATGCCCATGTATGTATTTATCAAGTCTTTAAGTGCCATATGTATTAACATAAATGACAGAGTGCATTATTAATTGGGGGGATTTAGAACCACGTTCAACTGGACAAACCAACAAATGTCTTTTTTTTATAATAGTTTGAAATAGTTTTTTTTTTATATTTTCAGTTTTCATTTTAGTTATATTAGTTTGTCATTTTATTGTGTTTTTGACATTTTGTCAGTATTTTTGATATCTGCTAATAATGTTAATTTTGTTGTGTGTTTTAGTTATTTTAGTACATCAGGTTAAACTAAATTAAAATGAGAAGCGTTACTTTGGCAACTATCTTTTAAAAAAGAGTTTATTTCAAGTTAAAAAAAAAAGTGTTTTTATGGTGTTTGGTTAACTATAATAACCATGTTTCATGCTATCATTTTCTTTGATTGCAGGTAAAGCCACTCCAATTTCAAGCAGCCTAACCCAGCCTCAAAACTCGACGGTCCTTTCCTCCTCCCCAACTGTTACGGACCCATCTCAGTCCCCGTTGGCCGCACCGCTTAACATAATACCCCACACAGCAGCTCCAACCAGCACCAATCTGACCTCCTCCACCCTCCCCATCACCACTCCCTCCACCGCCAACAGTTCATCACCCATCTCCACCAACACAGTAAAGAAGCAGCGGCCCTTACTGCCCCGAGAGACTGTACCTGTGGTGCAGCAGGCCGTCGTGTGGAACCCCACCACCAAGTTTCAGACGTCCTCTCAAAAGTGGCACATGCAGAAGGTGCATAGGCAGCAGCAGGGCCAAACGCAACCGGCCACGCAGGCGCAGGTGTTAACGCAGGTGCAGCGCAGCCAACAGCCGCGGCAGCAAGCACAGGTCTCCTCATCCTCGTCGGGACAGCAGCCTTCATCCAGCACCAGATACCAAACACGACAGTCTGTGAAAAGTATGCAGTCGATTTGAATTAATACGATATAAATGTCATATGTACATCACCAAAGTTGCATTTATTTGATAAAAAATACAAAAAACATTATTCAACTGTATTTCAACAGTATATTTAAGAACTGAGCACCAAATCAGCATATTAGAATGATTTCTGAAGGATATTGTGACATATGGAGTAATGGCTGCTAAAAATTCAGCTTTGCGTTACAGGAATAAATTACATTTTAAAATGAATTAAAATAGAAAGTTAATTGAAATTGCAAAAATATTTCACAATGTTACTGTTTTACTGTATTTTTAATCAAGTAAATGCAGCTCTGCTGAGCATAAGAGACAGCTTTCAAAAACATTCAAACATCCTAATTGTTCCAAACTTTGTAATAATATTGGTGGTTGTGTTTCTCCAGCAGTACAACAGAAAGACTCGCCACACACCACCTCCACCTCTGCCGTCACACTGGTGACCAGCACACCCGTATCAGCCTCCATGATGGCAGGACCCACCATCAGCTCTTCCTCTTCATCATCAACATCCACAACTGGAGACTTCCAGATCCCCACCACATCTGCAGATGTAGCAGCTGATATAGCGAAGTACACTAACAAAGTGAGATTGCTAAGAAAATGGGGGTTGCAAACTATATGTTTAGATGAAAACCATTTTAATTGTTCTATTAACACAATTATAGACGTTTAACACACTGTTTTTAAATTATTAACAGATCATGGATGCAATTAAAGGGACAATGACTGAGATATATAATGACCTTACCAAAAGCACGTCGGGAAACACAATAGCAGAGGTTTGTATTTGTTAAGTAAATCTGGAGAAGTGCAAAGCACTGTGGGTGAATTATTTAACACCTTGAAAATATGAATAAAACAGCCATTTTTATTTTGATGTTACAGATTAGACGGTTGCGAATTGAAATTGAAAAACTGCAGTGGCTGCATCAACAAGAATTATCAGAGATGAAGCACAATTTAGGTATGTGATTTTCTGATAATACAGTACTAGTCAAAATTTGAAGTGGATCAAAAAAGTTCATCAGAGTTATCCTAAGACAAGAACGTATTTTGGTTTTAGGACAACTTTGATGAAAGATTTTGATCCACTTCAAATGTTGACTAGTGTAGTTTATTTAATGTAGGGATGCACCAATAATGATTTTTTTATTGTGAATTTAATAATTATTAAATTATTGTGTGCAGGGGGATGAGCATGTATTTTCCAATATCTGCCTAAAGCAATAAACTAAAAATCGGTAATATCGACTGTTAAATTATATAGATCCCTGTGATTTCCACAGTGTGGAAAATATGGACAGAATCACGGAATCCAGTCATAAAAATGGAATGTACAGTATAATGCAGAATTTGTCATATTTATAAGTTATTAATTTATAAATCAAAATAGGCAGTACACCTAATTAGCATGATATGAATTGGTGTGCTAAAAAAATGCTATCACAATACAAAGTCTGCATGTCTGTGTGAATGACATGCAATTTCCTTTACTACACATACTCAAGCACACATGACATGTCAAGCACATTACAGCACTTCAATTTTGGAAAATCTAAAACAAATTTCATAGGGCCCTAACAATTACATTTTTGTTATAGTTGTAATAAATTGTTGTAGTACATCTTTTTCAATTAATTAGACATGCTTTTTGTTTGCTAAAATTTAATTTAACCATTAAAATGGAATCCAGTTAAAATGGAGAAAGAAAAAAAAACTAATTTGAGAAAAAGTAAAATGGAATTTGGGGAAATATAAAAACCGATTCTATAGGGCCTTACTGACATGGTACCGATATACTGTGCATCAACAATCCATCCTGACTGCATATTTGGTAAATGTGATGTACTCAGAGCTAACCATGGCAGAGATGAGGCAGAGTCTTGAGCAGGAGCGAGAGCGAATCGTGACGGAGGTCAAGAAACAGATGGAGGTGGAGAAACAGCAGGCTGTAGATGAAACTAAAAAGAAACAATGGTGTGCAAACTGCAGAAAGGAGGCCATTTTCTACTGCTGCTGGAACACCAGCTACTGCGACTATCCCTGCCAACAAGCACACTGGCCTGAGCACATGAAGTCATGCACACAGTCTGGTAAGACATAATATCAGACTATAGTCCAAGGCTGCATTTATTTCTATATTTAGTCTTCAGTGTTACATGATCATTCAGAAATCATTCTAATATGCTGATTTGGTGCTCAAGAAAATGTTCTTATTATTACCAATGTTGAAAGCAGTTGTGCTGCTTCATATTTTTTGTGGAAACCATGATATATTTCGCTATTCTAGAAGTCTTTTGTAACATCAATTTCATGCATCCTTGCTGAATAAAAGTATTTCTTTCAACAACAAAAAAAGAAACTGAACGCTAGTGTATATAAGTAGTGTATGGAATGACTTGTCTTATTAATAGGTGTTTGAAATGACTTTGTGCATTCTAGCAACATCTTCACAGCAAGAACAAGAGTCAGAAAGCAGCATAGATGTTACTCCCAAAGCCCCTGGACAGCCGAACAACACACCTAGAGAGACTGTATCTGCTACACCTGCAGACAAAGACAGTGAAGTGGATAAAGCCAAGGACAGTGTCGCTGTCACTATGTCCTAGCTCACATGTACAAAACATACACTACATCAGCACTTACGTCTGTACAGCTGTACATAGATGTTGTCAAATTCTTCACTACAAAAATTGTTTTAACTAACTTGCCTGATTGTGCTTGTGTTTTTTTTCTGTGTACGACTGTCTGAATGTTCCAATTCTAAGACACAAAGACCACCCAAACATTTCCTGCTGTAGGTTTGAGAGGGTTGTCTGCTTCTTTGTTGGGTTCGATTGTAAACAAAAAAGACCCGTTTATTTTATTTTATTTTATTTTATTTTTTTCAATCTTGTCGTACGTGGGGTCTGATAACTTTTAAGTTCATCTTTTTAATGTTGCCAAAATATATTTATAATATTCCGAAAGCCTCGTCTGCTGGTAATCTTTCAAAGATGAGTCACATCAGTCATTTTAAAAATGATTACAGCGAAATGGTTGGTTTTTTTGTTGTTGTTTTTTTCCAGTTCCAGAAGCTAAAAAGAGTATTGTGCTGTATTCATTTCTTATTCATGCTATTTCATCAAAAGAGCATTTGGTTATATAAAACTTAAAAGACTACATTATATCTTGATACATCGCTAAGATGAGTTTAAACACTGTTCCACAAAATATGACTACTTTATCACTATCTTGTTCGATTGTGTCTCCATGGAAAAGAGATGGTAAAACTGTATTATCACTAGATAAGAGTGAGAATTATAAATCTGTTTGATTTCCTGTATCTTAAATGCCTTTGTTTTTTTCTGTTTCGCCTGCTGTTCACTTCTGTGATCTGTTGATGTTGAAGTTTGTGACATCAGTAGGATCTCATGGTTCTCTTTTTAAGTTTACCTTAAAGTCGAAAGGTAGTGTTAGATCATTGATGAATGATAGTAGATTTTGTCCTGTTTATATTGTTGGTGTCAAACAATTGTTAAGATGATAATTACTTTAAGATGAGTAATTTGTTTCCCTTTTTTTTTTTTTTTTAAGTACCCAATTCATTTTATTTGAACATTGGCGAGATGTATTATTTTTTTTTAAATTACATTTTAATATTAACAGGACTGTAACTTCTCACCAGTACAGGTGATTAAGAAAGTACTTGTTTAATGCAGTTTTTGTTAGTTATAATTTTGCATATATCATTCATATGATGCTGTATTCTCAATGTTTGAAGAACAGATTCTTAAGAACACATAAGATACTGTATCTATGAACCCCAAACAGAAACATTCCTTATGTTATGCTGCTAATAGTGCATACATATGGTATTTCAAACCATATACAGAAAAGGAGAGCGGTTGAGAGTGGCTGTCAGTCTAAAGAAGAACAGATTGATGTTTACATATTGTATATAAAGATCTGGTAGTCTAAATTGTAATTTAATAGTTTTTGTATGGTGCAAGTGAATTAAAGAGAACACCTGATAAAAGTGTTTCACATTGGAGTCATTCTTTGATTGACTATAAAAAAAAAACTACTTTATTTGGACCTTCAAATGTGTTTTAATGTGACAGTATTCACAAAAATCTTTGAAATGTTATATGCTACATACATTTCTGGGTTGTGTTAAAGTGTAATTCTAAAAAGAAGTGATTTGTTTTTGCCACAGAATGATTGTGGTGACTTGTTGCTTTATAGTTTTGTGGACATCTCTGTTTGCTGCCAAATCTTGTATTGATGGCTGAATCTGAAGGAAGGCAACAAGGCAAGGGGGAATCCAATGTTTGTGTAACATCCTCTCTAATAATATGCACTCATTTGCTATGTGTCTGTCAAAAATGAGATCCTGGGGTGTAAAAATGGAAAATGCATTACTGAAACTTCAATGCATCAAATATAGAATTCTTATAATGCATTCTAATTAGTCTACTATAATACCCAGTGTAATACAAGTAGATATTATATGCAAATGCAAGTAAATTCTATTTTAAAAAATATTTTAATGGAAAAATATTTTTTATCAATTGTTTGACTACTATTACTAATAACAATAAAATATGTAAATTCCGTCAAATCCAGATCCCCAATTATTAACCAATCGCATCAGAATAATATAATTAAATTGTACCAGTTTGATTTTTTTTACATGCATGGTTTTTGCCAAGCAGGAGGAGGTCAGATTTTATAGCTGCAGTTACTGTGGAATAACAGAAACAGTTGAACATGTGCTTTTACATTGTGAGGCATATAATAGACAAAGAAAGCAACTTGTTGAAAAACTAAGAGATATGGAAATCAATGACATTTCAGTTATGAATATATTTCAGAATGCACAGAAACATCTAAGGGTTTATGATTTTCGTCTAAAATATCTGAGATATACAGATTTGATTAGAAGAATTTAGTTTTTTTTATTTTTTTTTTTTTATTAGTAGTATATGATATATTCGTTCATCGAGGCCTCACACTCCATCCCAGTAGGTGGCGGAAATGCACCTTAAGCTGGTTTGCCAACCGCCATTAAACACAAAAGAAGAAGAAGGTCAGATTTTCAACTGCAAACTAGATGGCGCACTTCTGCTTGCCAGATATTCTCAAATGATGCATTTTCACCTCCACGACACTGCGTCGCTGTTCTACAACTTCCGCTTCGAATGTGCTTTGCCTCATGCTATGCACTACAAGCAAAGCAAATACTGCATATTCGCCACCATCATCAACAAGAAGAGAAAATGGAGGTCATACCGTTACACTGACCGTAGGCCGAACGATCTTAATGCTAACAAGTGAGTAACTTATGCATTTCTAGTTGTATTGACCACTAATGCATGCTATTTCGCCGTTCGTCTGTGCTGAATAAATACAGAGATGCAGATACAGTTAGTCAGTTTTACAGCAGAGAACCTCGCGCTCCAGTAATGGCGCCATGAGACTCCATATTTAACAGTTATTTGAAATTATAAGCAAAGATTATTCCATATGGAATCCAACAACCCGGGACACGCTAACGTTAGTAAACAGCTCAGGTTTTGTCTCTAAATTAAATAAAGCCGAATCTCTGTTTTGCTAACGTTATATGAGTTTAAACATGTAACTTAATTCTCCCTTGTCTATTGGTAGTCACGTTTTTAAATTACAATTTGATTGTACGTTATTCTCTAAACTATCTAAGTTACCGATTGCTTTCCGTCTTTATTAAATGTGGTTACTACGACTTTTTTTTTTAGATGCAATAACGTTTTTTGGCTTTACTGTGTTGACAAAGTGGGTGTGTGCAGTCCTCTGGTTTTGCACTAAACCTGTGCATTGTTTTGCCGCTTTTAAATCTAATTGATCGTAATGTGAAGTACTTTTCTTAATGTATGTTTATGTATTTTTCTGGACGAGGGGAAGGTAACGTTATATAAACCTAGTCGGTGCAGATCTGTTTTATATTGTCTATGTCTGTTGAGGAAACTGTACAGGTTTAAAATATAAAAAAATGTCTCCAGCATATTTTGCATGAATATGAACTCTCTCTAAATTAGTTTGGCATTAAATAATACATTTATTACGTGTACACGATAACCGCTTCTCACGTGGCAGCTCTCCGTGACCAGTGCTATTGCTACTTACGATTAGCAAACGAATCCCTTTTTGAATCGGTTCAAGAAACCAGTCGGTATGAATCGTTTGCGGCACTGGGACACATTAAATCCTATAAACATACAATAAACACGCTTATCAATAACGTAATAATCAGCAGCTGATATTTTACGTACATAGGGTTTTATTGGAACGCCAGGACCTAGGGACCACGTGATGGCGTCACTACCAGATGACGAAGAAGAACCACTGTATCGGATGTAATTGATTCTTTGGCTGTTCGAAAGAACCGATTCGCAGAAATGAGTTAGATTTAGCACCATTAGTACATACCGCAGAGCCAAGTTAGAATTGTATTCCGTTGTATTTCTGCGTCATATACACCTTGAGACCGCATGAGTGAGTCTAAGGAACAAAATAGCTGGGATGAAAGGATCTCTTGTGTAAGCGAGACTGCGCACGATCGGGACAGTGAAATGGAGGTCGCACGCTAGCGATTAGCTTAAGCTAACTGGCAAGTAACAACTGGAAACTTGTGTTTTTTCTCTCATTTTGCGCCTTCTTTGCATTACGCAAATGTATATTTTACAGCAGTTAGGGGCGTTAGTTCTTCGTGTCAGTTTTGTTGGGGTGTATGTGTGTTACTATGACACTCAATACTGTGGGCGGCCATGCCAGAACACAACGATGTATGTTTTATTTATTTTAAAATTTAGCATGCAGGAATGCTGTATTTATAAATACATCAGAAATCCTTTTGAGAGTGGATTATCTTTCCTTAAATTACACTAGACGAGGGTGAATTCATGGATCTCAGACACGTTTAATAACTGGGCCTTGAGCACGTTTTGTAATGTGACAATTATACGTGTTTTTAAAACTGTACGTTTTGTTCCCCGGCTTAGTTTGTTGTAGTTTGTGTTCTCTTAATATTATTGGATAGCAATTGTGTTGTACATGACGCCCAGTATGTCAAATGTGAAATTATTTTACATTACTTAGTAATTGTGTGTAAGAGGGATTATAGCAGTTACAACATGAGCTGTCGTCTGCTTGTTAGCGATTAAATGTGCATTAATTTTGCAAATGTGTTTTGCAAAGTGTAGGACTGGCTTTCGACTTGAAGGTGGTTGAACAATATTTTTAGTGGTTTAAGCTAACAAGAAAGAGCAAATCAAATATATGACATTTAATCCTGTATAAAAGATTAATTTGCTCATAGTATTCAGGTAAACAGATTATTTGTTTAAATGTATTTTCTGTAGGGTTTTTTAGACTTACTAATTTGTCATTTTCATGTCACTCTTAGCCATATATTCCATGTTTTTACCAAAAATATGCAACATTTTGTGAAATATAGGCTATGGTCTTCATTTAGTTGATATTGAGTTACAAATTTAGTACATGGTTGGAGTGCTTACTCTTGTTTGTTTTTTTTTGTTTTTTTTTTAAAGTGTAACCTGATAGACTTCCAACTAGTTGAAAATGAAGGAACATGAATTATATACAGAAAGCTATATATGAAGTAAGAAAGTTATATGTCCTGATATGTTGATGTAACCACCTTCCTAACCTCATAGAGCTTACATCTTAATCAGTTTTAATTGTTTTTGTGTGTATGTGTTTATAGATCAGTATCTTAAATAGAAGAGTTCCAGTCATCGTCTTCATAGCACACAGGTACAGCATTTCACTACTGTTATTATGAGACTCTGCATGGTTTTTGACAACTGAAGTCTCACTGTTACTGTTTATTTTTGTGAAAGTTGTTGGCTGTATTTGTGTCCTGGTAACTTGAACCTTACAAATGTAACTTATGACACATTATCTCATTTGCCAAATGCACGTTAGAGCCTGCAGGTGTTGTCTTACAGCAGGTCTGGTTTTCAGATTGCATTGTTCAAGATTTGTACAACCTTTTTTAATGTTTAATAATGCAGCCCTTTTCATTTAAATGGCTTTCATTGTGATGTGCAGCATTATGGATTCTTTTAGCTTTAAACCAGATGTATTTGAGATTATTATAAAAGGCCACCAAAGATGACATGTTGTTGTATGAAACTCAAAATAATGAAAAGTAATTTTTGCAACTTAATATGAAACGAATTCCTTGTGACTACAAATGTGAAATGCATTGCAATAATTATGAAAATAGCTGAAAAGGCATCAGTTATGGAATTCAGAAATGCATTATTATTAATATACAGTAGCGATACTCTATGTTTTACACTGTTGTATGATACTCAAAATACACACCTAAATTGCGGCGGTTTAATTGCAAAATTTTCCAGTAGCAGACAACCTTGATTTATGCATGTCTATGTAAAGTACTTGAAGACAATATTTATTACAGTTTTAGTCAAAAGAAAGTTTCAGGAAGAAATATATATTCAAATTTAAAATGGCCAATCACACAGACTTTGTATTATGAATGTTTCCCAATAATCCTGCGTGTTTTTAGGAATAAAAATAATAATATTATTGAATATTACTACTACTAGTAATTCACTCTTTTCTATTTTAATATAAATTGAAATGTAATTTATTGCTGTGATGGCAAAACACACCTCTTTATCAATTTAATGTGCCCTTGCTGAATACAAGTATTAATTTTTTTTAAAAGAAAAATGCACTGAAACCAAACTTTTTTGGTAGTTTTTTTTTTTTTTTAGTTTTACTGTACTTATTTTACACAGCATTTGCACAATTCACATAAAACAATTTCTTGTTTATTGTCCACTGATGTGAGTGGAATTTGGAATTTGCATGTGGAAATATAAGATTCAGGGAGCAGCATTCTCTGAATTATTCAGATTGAACTTAAAGGGTCATGAAACCCCCCGTTTCAGCACTGGTTAGTTCTCACCACAGTTTAAAAAAATGCTAAAAAAGTGGGCGTGGTACGGAGGAGGGGGAAGAGGGGAGACAGACAACACACACAGCTTAGCGTTCTGACAGTTACACTTCGCTCCCATCGGATGCTAACATTGTCTTCTATGATGTGCAACACAAACACCTCTGCTAAAATCTCAGTAAAAGTAGTCTGGGGTTTCATGACCCTTTAACAACAAAGATGATATGGTTAGTCTATTTGTTAGTTTTAGTTGCTAGAGGAAATAGAAAGCCCCAAGATATTTCTTAAGTAAATAAGACGAAATATGATATCAAACACCACTGCCTCTTTTCATTTTTATTTAAACATATTAATAGCTGCAGAAATGTAGTTCAGGGAACGTACATGCATTACAATGAAACGAAATATTATATCAAACAGTATTGCCTTTTTATTTTCATTTTAACATATTAATAGATTAATAGAATAAAGACCAAAGATTACCTGTTAGATTTACCCAAAACAAATTATATCTTATGGTTGACCACTACAGAGACATCAGAGCCAGCGGCAAATGTCAGAAGG